GTATCTGTATGTATTTAGTTATATATATATATATATATATAGTGAAATGATCATCACAATAGGTCTAGCTAACATCTATCACCATACATAACTACATTTTTTTCTTGTGATAAGAACTTTTAAGATTTATTCTTAGTAACTTTTAAATATGCATTACAGTATTGTTAACTATAGGCTTTGCATGCTTTGCATTACATGCTTTGCATTACATACTTTGCATTACATACATATGATTTATAACCAAAAATTTGTGCCTTATGATTCCCTGTACCCATTTTGTCCCTCTCCCATCTTCCTCACCCCCTGCCTCTGGCAACCATCAATCTGCTCCGTTTCTATGGGCTTGGGTTGTTTTTTCATTTATTATTTTTACATTCCACATGTAAGTCAGATTATATGGTATTTGTCTTTTTCTGTCTTACTTCACTTACCATAGTGCCCCCAAGGACTGTACTCGTTATCTCACATGGTGAGATTTCATTTTTTTTTTATAACAGAATAATATTCATTTAATTGGAATAACTAATTCACCCTGTGATGCACACTTAGATTATTTCCGTATCTTGGCTATTGCAAATAATGCTGCAGTGAACATAGGAGTGCATATATTCTGTGAATTAGTGTTTTTTTTTTTTTTTTTCATTCTTTGGATAAATGCCAAGTTAGTTTTTTGTTTTCAGATAAATATCCACAAGTGAGCCCACTGGATCATATGGTAGCTTTATTTAAAAATTTTTTTTATGGGCCTCCCCTGGTGGCGCGGGTGGTTGGGCTCAGTGCTGTCCGTAGCCTCTGCAGTGCAGTTTTGATCCCGGCCAGCCGGAGAGATATCCACATGGCACGGCAGACCTCTCCTGTCTCTCCCGTTGCTCCCCTCAGCAGTGTATTTCAGTCAGTCTGCCTGTTCTGTTCCCTGTTCTGTCTCTGGTGAATATTCTCACCCTCCCGCATATCTGGCCTGTACCCCAGTTCTTGTATCCATGAATAAACATGAATAAATCAATCTTAAATTTTTTAGGAACCTCCATACCATCTTAGATAGTAACTGAACCAATTTATAGTCCCACTAACACTGCATGAGGGTTCCCTTTGCTCCACATCCTTGCCCACAACTGTCACTACTGTTATCTCGGTTTTATTTGCATTCCCCTCATGATTTGTGATGTTAAGCATCTTTTCATGTACCTGTTGACCATCTATATGTTTTCCTCTGGGAAAATGTTTATCAAATACTTTTCTTTTAATCAGATTTTTTAAGCACTAAGTTGTATGAGTTCTTTATATATCTTGATTATGAACTCCATGTCAGATACATGATTTGCAAATATTTTCATTGTATATGCTACATTTTAATTTAGATGATGGTCCTCTTAGCTGGGTAGAAGCTTTTTAATTTGATAATCCTACTTGTTTGTTTGCTTTTGCTGTCAATCTAAAAGATCATCACCAAGACTGATAGCAAGTCACTTACTGTCTGTTTTCTTCTATGATTTTTATGGCTTCATGTCTTCTATTTAAGTCTTTGTTTTGAGTTAGTTTTTGTGTCTGGCATAAGATAGGTCCAGTTTTATTCTTTTGCACATGTGTGCATCCAGTTTCCCAGCACCACTTACTGAAGAGAGTGTTTCCCATAGTATGTTCTTGTCATCTTTACTGTAAATTGATTGACGATATATAAGTGGGTTTATTTCTGGGCTTCTATTTTGTTGCATTGATCTATTTTTTTATGTCATCACCGTACTGTTTTCACTACAATGGCCTCGGAGTCATTTACAATCAGGAAATATGGCACCTCTAGCCTTTTCTGTCTCTCAAGATTGCTTTGGCTATTTGGGATCATCTGTGGTTCCATACAAATTTTAGGATTGTTTGATGTCTATGAAAAATGTCATTGGAGTTTCAACACAGATTGCATTGAATCTATAGATTGCTTTGGCTAAAACCATGAAGTGCTGGAAATTCAATGGTCAAAGATACTTGATTTAATGTCTCTGCATTTTTTTTTAGTCAGGAACTGGTCATATTATTAGCATGGATAGGCTTAATACAACCCAATGAAAAAATATTGTATCACTGAGCTCCTTTGTGAGCAAATTAGATTTGTGATCCCAGTGATAGTATGACTGATATACATAGAATTTTGATTTTTACAAAATGCTTAAAAGCAAAATCACCGGGCCATCCATAATATTGGTGTTGGGCAATAGGAAACATGCATAAACAAGGAAAGTATCACCTGAATTTCACTAATTTTTTGGTCTATCTCCATGAATTTATGAATTAGCATGAGCTGAAGTCAAGGAAAAGGCATCATGAAAAATGTCTGATGGTTTCAAAGAATTAAATAAATGAAAGTTTGAAGTTAAAAATATTTCCTCTTTATGTTAGACTTTTAATTTCTAATCACCAAAAGAGTATACATTTAATCACACATTAAAATATCAAAATGCACAGAAATAGCATTAGTCAGCAATCTCTTAAGTTTTATCCCCCTGATTCTAAATAGATAATACTTGAATTTTAAAGGACAAGGCATATGGTAGACAGTTTTTTTTTAACTATTTATTTTTTATTTATGCATGTAAGAACTGGGGTATAGGCCAGAGGTGCAGGGGGTGAGAGGATTCACCAGAGACAGAGTGGGGAGCAGAACAGGCAGATCTACTAAAATACACTGCTGAGGGGAGCAGCGGGCGAGACAGGAGAGGTCTGCTGTGCCATGTGGGTCTGCTCCCTGGCCAGAGATCGAACTTGTGCTGCAGTGGTTGCGATAGCTTGATAGTGCTGAGACTTTAACCCCTGTGCCACCAGGGAGGCCCATATGGTAGACTTTTGCCATCATTATGGTCACTCAATAATTTGAAACTCCTACGTAAGTTAGAATTTCCTACTTTCGTGTCTTGGTAGTGGAGGCTAATTAGTGTCAGGGGCTTGCTTTCTCGGGCTTCGTTGTAGTTAATATGTACACATATGATGGAGATTTTTAATTTTTTTTAATTTTTAAATTTTTTTAAACAATATTTGCTTCTCTCCACCCCCTCAGGTTGAGTCCCCATAGAATTTCCTTCCCCAAGGTACCCATGCACCATCACCAGAGTCCCCTGTCTCTTTGTTTTGGTTAATGTCTCCTTTGCTGTACAGAAGCTTTTCAGTTTGATGTAACCCCAGGTGTTTATCTTTGCCTTCACTATCACTGCTTTGGGTGATGAGTCTTTAAAGATGTTTGAGATGTATGTCTTGTAGTGTTTTACCTCTATTTTCTTCTATATATTTTATGGTTTCAGGTTTTATGTCTAGTCCTTTTATCCATTTTGAGTTGATTTTTGTGTACGGTGAGAGGGAGTAGTCTAGTTTCTTTTTTTTGCATGTGGAGGTCCAGTTTTCCCAGCACCATTTATTGAACAAACTGTCCATGTTCCATTGCATATTCTTTGCTCCTTTGTCAAAGATTAGTTGTTCATATAAGTATGTCTTTATTTCTGGACTCTCTATTTGGTTCCATTAGTCTGTGTGTCTGTTTTTGTTCTAATACCAAACTGTTTTAATCATTATGGCTTTGTAGTATAGCTTGAAGTTTGAAAGTGTGATACTTCCTTTCTCCCTTGTTTTCATCAGTAGGGCTTTGACTATTTGTGTTTTTTTGTGGTTCCATATGAATTTCATCAGTATTTGTTCTATTTCTTTGAAGAATGTCATTGAGATTTTTATTGGAATAGCACTGAATCTGTACATTGCTTTTGGGAGGATGACCATTTTAATAATGTTAATTCTTCCAGTCCATGAGCAGGGGATGACATGATGGAGATTTTGATTTAGGGCTAGTAACAAAATCGAAACGAACAACATCCCCAAAGAAAAAATGACTAGGTCTAGAAGTGATGAAACTCTGTCTTTTTCAAGAGTCAACTGTAGTGAATATTGGAAAAATCACTAAAAAAGAAGCTTCTGGGGCAAAAATAGTATTGGTGCTATGTGTATAGGGGCAGTTCTGTGATCACCTGCTGACAATTACTTAGTATTTTTTTTTTTTTTTTTTTTTGACAATTACTTAGTATTTTAAGTCAACTTTTTGATTAAAAAAAGGTAGTAGCTTCACATTATTCAAGGTTTGGAGAGTATAGGAAAGATCAATGAGTTTGCGCTTCTGTATGTATGTACACAGACACATATGAGTAAATTTTTCTATAGAAAAACACAGTTTATATAGAAATACACTTTCTAAGAGCCCTTTGTAGTAGTCATGATTTGTAAGATCTTGGATCTGTTGACAAATTGAAATCATACATCTAAGTCAGATATCATGTTGCAGAAATGCTATTGATATAGAAATGTTTACTGTAAAATGAAATTTTAAAGTGGGATACTATGTAGTTTTGTGCTTACCTTTGAATGCAATTTTATCATTCTTTGCCAGTGTAACTCTAAATAGTGACATCATTTAATTACTGTGCTATTGAAATATAGCCTCTAATATTTTGCTGTCATAAAACTCCAAAGAATATTCTTGTATATAAATCTTTGAGATCTCTGACTGACTAGGTCTCTGATTAGTGGTTAAAGATAAATTTCTAGATGGCAGGTTACTAGTTCTGTGAAATTTGAACTTCTAATGTCTCTTCCATCAATTGTAGAGTTTCTTTTGAGGTGGCTGTTCAACTTTTGAATTTCTGGTGGGTTTTCACTATGAAGCATTGGTCAAGCATAAAACTAGAATGTCCAATTTTTAAAAAAAATTAATATGGCACCTATTATCAGTTTACTACTTATCTCACATGGTGGTGTGCTTAAGAGACATTTTCACACATAATCCTCACAATAATACTTTTCAGCCTCATCAGTTAAATGGGGGAAACTAGCCAAATATTTTGAGTTTTGAAAATAATACTTGGGAGGAAAGAAGTATGGGAGAGTTAAAAGTAGTAGAGAAGAGGTAAGATGCAGCTAAAAAGCATATTGTCATAGTAAAAACTTACAAACTGACAAAACACAGGTTTAGCAGGGCATTTTAACCAATGAGTATTTATTAAAAGCCAGAGGTGCACCAGGCACAGTTCTTGTCCAAGAGGCTAACAAATATAAATGATACAACCAATTCACTTATAAGCTTATCTGATTAAACAAAATACATTTCATAGAAATGATTATAAAATGCATTATAGATAGAAACAGAATATCTTTCACACTTACAGATCTTGTGGTACCTAAATAATTAATAAAAACCAGCCAACCCAGATGATAAATAGAAGTTAGCAAACCACCGTTTAATTTTTTTTAGTCAGCAATAGAATAAAACATGTTATTGTCATGATGAAATGGGTTTCAGCATTCAATATAGACGTTCTGCTTCCAAACTAACACAGTCAACATATAATCTTAGAAATTCAGTGTTTTCATCCTGTCAAATCACTGCTACACTTTTTTGGTTTAGAGATTAGTTTTGGTTTTAGAGTAATTTAAATTTAGTACTTCTGACCCATGACTCACAGATTCTTGGCCTGCGATAGGTGAGAATCAGTCCAATCAAGTACTAGCTAGAGGAATATGACAAAACATAAATGGCATAGTTTAGTCTGCATTGCCGGTTATTCTTGTTAATAATGTACTTGAATGAGAAGTTAAGATAGCCATGTGATTTTAAAATGGAACTTAACAGCAGAAGGGAAAAAAAAAAAAGACAGTGTTGGTGTTACTTGAAGCAAGTCTGTCCATTAGAGCCACATATATTGCCTTTTAGAATCATGGCTAATTCTTTCCAGAGCTGTATCAAGTTTGTTGGCACATTACAGATTCTTAACTGAAGGCTTGTTAGAGGGATGTCAAGGAGAAAAAAGGAGGGTGGCAATGACTGAAAAGGCATGGAGTGGAGTGTTTGCCCACCTGGCACCATAGTTGCTGAACCACAGCCATCCAACAGTGTCCACTAGGCTCTTCCTGAGACCTCTAGAGAAGGCTCTGTTTTCTCCAGGCAGCAGCAGTGAAAACTTCCTCAGAGTCAAGGTCAACTTTTATTGCACAGGAACCAAAATTACTCTCCTTTCCCCCATTTTCCTGAGCTGGGTGACCTCCAAGTGCAAACGTGGCTGGGGTTGTGGGTCCACTTGCTCCTCTGGCCAGCAGGGAGCACTCCGCCAAGATGTGTTCTTGGGGAGCACATTCGTTGGGGAGCACAGTCTTCAAAGGGAAGTGCGAGGTAGCAATCTGGTCGGTCAGTCACCATTTTCAAGCAGCTTTTGTAAGTTGTTTTGTATCTTGAAATAATAAAAGAGAAGCACCTGTTACCTAATAGAACGAAGTATATTAAGGGCATATTTGCTATGGCTTATATAATGCTTGAGATTAATCTATTTTGCCTCAGATAAAAGCTATACATGGGTTATATTTAGATGAGGCAAATAAATTCTTTGTAATGTAACAGACTGTTGATGATCCATTTTACAATGAAGAAAGACAGCGCTAAAAAAAGAATGCAACAAAGATGAAAATGTCAATAGAGACAGAGTGAAATCGGATGGAAGAACAAGAATAAAAGTCCCGGTAATGCACCAGGTGTGATCAAAGTGCATTTAGAGACACGAGAAACCTGATTTTTACAGAGCCCTTTCAGGCCATCTGGCAAACACCACATAATGATGATTAACACTCCTATGAAATATTATGTTTCCCAGAACACTGAATTTTAAAGCGACTGTGTCATATCTTTAGATCTCAAGACCACAGTCAGGTGTTGAGCATGACAAATGTGTTCAGTGAGTGTTTGTTGAGCAAATGAACTTGAAAGAATTCAGAGCATGGCATTCTCAACTGCCAATATGGGACCAGTACCACCGGCATACACAGGTTAGGAGAGGAGGAAGGGTCTAACAGGTATGGGCCAGGACTGTGATATGTGTTCATCTCCAGCAAACATGACCACACAGAGGACACTCTGATACATGAACCTGAGGGCCAGAGAGGCTACATCACTATACCAGTTACACAGCAAGTGAATAGCAGGGTAGGGATAAGAACAATGGCCCACTCCATTGTAGGAGTAGAAAGACAGGTATGAAAAAAAGGGCTGATGTCCAAATACAGCTGATTTTGACCTGCAAGCATCCATTCCCATGTGGATTTTGTTCAGTAAATATGCGGTTGGCCCTTAAGCCCCACACAGTTGAGAAAGCAGACAGCTGGATTCTGTGTGTTTCTGGCTCAAATACTACCACTTGTATGTCAGAGTGAACAAAACAGAAATTTACGGTCATTCCATTTGCTAGGTCAGCATGGACATGAAACATTTGTAATCATTTCATTACAAAAAGTGTCTTCAATTCTGAGAAACAGTAACATTAAAGAAAGGAAGATTCTGGTTGAAACCCCATTTTCTTGAGGTTGATTTTGGATTTAGAAAAGAAAAAGTTTCCAACTGTGCCCATAGAGAGAATGACTTAATGGGGAGGATCTGTCAAGCCTTGGTTCAGAAGAGAAATCTGCGAACTCCTTCACTCTTAATCTTTACTGGTTAAAAGCTAAATAACATCAGGTACAGCAAAACGGATAATTTGACTTATTTGTGTTTCACGTTTCTTCTCAAGTAAACATAACCCCGCTTCTAAGGAGTGTTACCAAATACTGAGCATTTATGGTAGCAGTTCTAACTGAACACTTCACTCTAAACCTTTCATTAAGCATTAGTATAACATCAAATTATCAGATTGGAAGGGATGAAAATGTTGAAAGGACAAGCAAGAAAGGTTAATCAGGTTAAACTAAGCTATTTCCTATGTGCCTATCTTCTTGTTCATGTCCGTTTGACTTCTAAGAGTGCCACAAGCCTACGAACAGGTTTCCCCTACGGTCTCCCTGGAGGAAAATGCTTTTAGAGGTAAGGATGCATCAACAAGGCCCAAGAGGCAGTAAAACAGAGGGTGTCTTAGCAGAATTTTGGAGTCTGAAAGACCTTCCAATTCCAGATCTGTCAACTCCCCAGTTGTGCTTCCTTGAGCACGTTAATTTGAAGCTTCGAGTCTTCCTCCTTTAGAGAGGAGCAACGACATCTCTGATAGGGATTAAATGCAATACTTTATGTGGGGTGACATCAGTCTGGGTAGAGTTAGGGCAGTACTCTCTGACTGGGACATAACTTCCAGTGTCCCTCAATGAGCCTGTTGCAGCAGACATCATGCCCTGTGGTGCAGAGAAATATTTCTAACCACAGAGAAAAGTGAAAAGGTAGATCAACAAGAAAAATGAGGTTAAACCCAATTAATTTTCATGGAAAAATACTATTTCACATGTATCATGCGTCCTCTGGCTGGTTTTGGCCATGCAGGTTTCCTGCTGCACACCCGCTGGAGTGTGTAACTCCTGATGTATGGTAGCCGACAGGCACGACACAGTTGGTCCCAAATACAGGAAAGAAATGAGTCACCTTTTCTAATTTCATTATGTTAGCTGTGAGCTCTTGGCAGAGGGCCTCCGCATTTAATTGTACTTGTGACCCCAGGCCGGATGGTGCTGTCTGTCTGTAAGAACAAAGAGAAAAAATTATGGTGGGCAAAAAGAAAGGCGTGAAATGAAGACATTTTAAATTTATTTGAACAGAAAACTAGGTTGTGATAGAAAGGAAGGAACATTTAACTTGTTAACATTAGAAAGGCCCTGCAGTGATCCACAGCTCCAGACTACTTGTTTAGAGGACTGTTTCTTAAAAGCCCAGCTGGAAATCGCTCAAGCTATTTTTGTTTAAGTGGCTGTGCTGTGCAGAGGACTCCAGTGTGAGGTTGCTTAGACCCTTTGTTATTAACCCTTAGTGTCCCCTCTCTTCCCACTACAGTAAGAATGACTGCTCTTCTCAGTCATACACATTTTGTTTCTAGGGGAGAAGGACCCATTTACACAAGAATCTTTAGAATGTTGGAAATTATTTTAATCAAATTTCTCTTGACACTTTATAATTTCTTTTCTGAGACGTGCCATGTCATAGTAATTTGCCTTCATCTGCTGATCTGATGTCATCATTTACCATTTGACTAGATGGCATGGGCTTTGCCTCTGGGGTCTGATATTAGCTAAAACTATAGGAAATTTGGAGATGTATGCACATTCTGTTGGAGAGCTGGTCTAAATTTATTAGTGTTTCATGTCAAGGTTTAGAACCGTGGCCTCTATTTTCTCTATATGTGATGGTTATAATTGTAGCTGTTAAGTTTTTGGAGGGCAATAAATGGCCTATTTTATTTTACATAGGGTCCTATTTTGAGATCTAGGCAGTTGGTAAATTGATGATTATCTAAACACTAAGAAAACAATCAGATGTTATTTACTAATACCGAAGTACTAGTGTGGATTCTTTATCGTTCATCCATTCTGTCAGAATTTTAGATCCCCAAAAGAAAACAATTTCAATCTTTTACTTTCTAGAAGAGAGATTTGAGGCCCAGAGAATGGATTTAACCAGAAGAAATTCTGACAATTTGGCCCCATGTTTGCATTTAAAATGATAGCCCTGTAACAACTGAAGAGCCAGATTATGAGAGCAGGTTTAGTGACCTGGGCAGCATGGATGCATTACCCTGGGGCGGTAAGATATTATGGACCACCCAAGTCCTATAAAAGTACTTTTTAACAGATCTTCTTATCATAGGTGTTCCCTGGCCTCATGTCATTTGTGATCTGTCATTTTTCTTTAGGTGGATTATTTTTCTGATTGTACTTTGTCCTGGGTTGGTTGTAATGATAGGATATTCCACTTGCTTTCTGTTAGTGGAATTTCTCCCACATTATCACCTAGTTTAAATAACAGAATATAGTTTCATTTCCTAATAAAAGCAATCCCTTATGATAGTAAATTAATACTAATCTGCAATAATCCAGAGTCATCTCCAAAATGTTAACATTTTGAACAAGATGGGAGAGAGTAAGGGTAGGGTGGATCTATTTTTTTAAAAAATATTTATGCATACAAGAGCTGGGATGTAGGCCAGAGGTGCAGGGAATGAGAGGATTTACTAGAGACAGAGTGGGGAGCAGAACAGGTGGAGATAACTGAAATACACTACTGAGGGGAGCCACAGGTGAGACAGGAGAGGTCTGCTGCGCCATGTGGGTCAGCTCCCTGGTCAGGGATCGAACTCACACCACAGTGGCTGCTGATAGCTTCACAGTGCTGAGACTTAACCCCCATAAGACCATGTGCACATTTTTCACTAGAAATACAGCAGGCCAGAAAGGAGTTGTGGTATACAAAGTACTGGAAGAAACTTCCAGCAAAGCAACTCTATCCACCAAAGTTATCATTCATAACTGACAGTAAGTATTCCAGAAAAAAATTCACTGCCAATAAACTGGCCTTAAATGTTTTTTTTTTTTTTTTCACATTTTATTTAAATTTTATTTCTTATATTCCCCATACAATTACAACCCCCTTATTTTGACCCCAAGCCCTCCTTTCCTGCCCCCCACCTGCCATAGAGTGTCTCTGGTTCATAGTTGTTTGTTGATTTTGATATTTTCTTTCTTTGTGCTAAAGAGCACTGGTGCTATTTTTTTTCTTTACTGAAGTATAATTGACATACACTCTTAATTTCAGGTATACAACTGATTTCTGACATTTGTATTACAGTGCATACATGTGACTTATTTAGTTCATAAATAAATTCATACCTCTTGTTCCCTTTGCCCTTTCTGACCAACCCCCCCCCCAACCCATGTAGTAACCACCAGTTTGTTTTCTGCATGAGATTTATTTAGTTTAGATTTCCACATGTCAGTGAAATCATGCAGTATTTTTCCTCTCTGTATTTTAGCATTGTTTAAAATACTAAATTGGAGAAATTCTTCAAATACTTTGGATATTTGGAACCTTTTGTGGTTCTATACAATGTTATGGTTCTATTTCTGTGAAAAATGCCAGTGGAATTTTGATAGTGATTGCATTTAATCTGTGGATTGCTTTGGGTAATATATTTTACCACTATACTTTAAACCCATGAGCATTTCTTTGTGTCTTCGATATCTCTCATCAGTGTCTTAGTTTTCAGTGTATACGTCATTTACTTCCGTGGTTAAATTTGTTGGTACTTTATTCTTTTTTTTTTTAAAGATCCATTTATTTATTTATTTATTTATTTCTACAAGCACTGGGTACAGTCAGAAGCGCAGGAGGGCGAGAGAATTCACCAGAGCCAAAGCGGGGAGCAGAGCAGGCAGAAGGACCGAAGTACACTGCTGAGGGGAGCAGCGGGCGGCAGGAGAGGTCTGCGCGCCATGTGGGACCCTCCTCCGGTGGCCAGGGAGCAGCCGGGGATCGAACCGGTGCTGCAGAGGCTGCGGGTAGCTTCGCAACCCAGCGCTCAACCGCTGTGCCACCGGGGAGGCCCTATTTTATTCTTTTTGATGTGATTGTAATGAGGTGGTTTTCTTTCTCATTCTGACATTTTGTTATCAGATATTTTGTTACATTTTGTAAAAATGCAACAAACTTGTATAATTGATTTTATATCCTTCAAGCTTTGTGAAATTAGTTTTTATAATTTTTTGGACTATTTATGGTATGATTTTCTGTCTATAATAAAATCATATCATTTGCAAGTTGTGACAGTTGTAGTTGCTCCTGTCTACTTTGGAGGCCTTAATTTTTTTCCTGTCCATCTGGCTACGACTTCCAATACAATGTTGAATAGGAGTGGGCTCCTCAATCTTTCGTGAAAGGTATTCATCTTTTCATCATGGTGTAATGTTAGCTGTGAGCTTCTCACATATGACCTTTATATGTTGAAAGAGCCCCTCTAAACCCATTTTGTTAACATTTTTCTTTGAATAACATTGCATTGTAACAGGGTTTGTATATATGTGTCATTTAAAATCATGTTACAGTTCATGTTAAGTGAACCATTAAGTTTACCACTAAAAATCCAATTCTATCCTTCACAAGCAATTGGTTCCTTTTACCCTCCCACCCCACCCCCCTTTTTTGGTAAATACTAATTTGGTCTTATAGTCTAAAAGTTTATCTTTAGTTCAGTTGCTTATTTGTTTTCTGAGTGAAATCAGAGCGTTTTTGTCTTATTTTACTAAGCACAATACCCTGAAGGTCCATCCATATTGTTGCAAATGGCAGCATTCCATTTTCCCCCCCTGTAGCGGAGCAGGTATTCCACTGTGTACATATACACACACCTCTCCTCTACCACCTGTTCTTGTTTGTTGACAACAGTCATTTCTAATAGATGTGACGGCGTGAGGTGACACTGGTTCTGATTTGCTCTTACTTGATAGTAAGAGATGATGAATACCTTTTCATGTGCTTGTCGCCTATCTGTTGTCTTTGCTAATATGTCTATTTGGGGCCTCTAGCCATTTTAAAAACAGGTTTTGTTAAGTTTTATGAGTTACATGTTTTGATGAAACCCCTAATTGGATATGATTCGCAACTATCTTCTTCCATTTAGTATGGTGTCTTTTGTTCTGATGATAGCTTCTCTAGTGGTGCAGGAGCATTTCAGTTTGATGGAGTCCCACTTATATTGGCTTTCCTTTTTCTACTCATTAGACTTGAGTCTGCCAAGATTTCTCACCGCTGACATCTAGTAGTGTGTTGCCTTTTTTCCCTTGCATTTTATGGTTTCAGGTTTTATATCTTTAAATCAGTTTGAGTTAATTTCTGTGTATGGTGTGAGACAGTGGCCTAGTTTCACTCTTTTGCATGTGACTGTCGTTTTCCATGCACCATTTATTGAAGAGATTTTCCTTACTCCATTGTATATTAACTTCATCGTATGCACTTGGCTACTTTGTTGAGAATTGGCTGCACATAGATTTGTGACTTTATTCCTGAACTATCAGTTCTGTTTCATTGATCTGTGTGTTTTTATTCCAGTAGCAGGATGTTTTGATTATTACTGTTTTGTAACCAGGGAACTTGACACCACTATTTTTCTTTTTTTCAGGATGTCTTTTGCAATTGAGGATCTTTGTAGTTCCAAATAAACTTCATGATTTTTTTTTTTTCTATTTCTGTGAAGAATGCCACTGGGATTTGAATAGGGATTGCACTGAATCTGTATATTGCTTTAGGTAACAGACATTTTAATAATTCTTCTAATTCATGAGCAAAGTATCCATTTTTCTTGTGTCTTCTATTTCTTTTAATAATGTCTTTTAGTTGTCAGTGTACAGATCTTTTGCCTCTTTGGTTAAAATTATTCCAAAGGATTTAATGTATAGTCATTTGATAGCTATTAATTTTATAGCCTACCACTTTACTCATTTTTTTTTTAAAGATTTATTTATTTATACAAGAACCAGGGTACAGGTCAGATGTGCAGGAGGGTGAGAGAATTCACCAGAGACAGAGCTGGGAACAGAACAGGCAGACTGATGAAATACACTGCTGAGGGGAGCAGTGGGAGAGACAGGAGAGGTCTGCCACACCATGTGGGACCCTTGCTGGCCAGGATCGAACCCATGCTGCAGAGGCTGCGGACAGCTTCACAGCACTGCACTAAACCACCTGCGCCACCAGGAGAGGTCTTTTACTCATTATTTCTAATAGCTTTTTACTGGGGTCTTTGGGATTTTCTATGTATGTCATCTGAAAATAGTGAGTTTTGCTTGTTACTTCCTAATTTGGATACCTTTTATACCCTTTTCTAATTGCTCTGGATAAGACTTCCATCCCTGTATTAACAGTGGTGAGAGGGACACCTGGTTTTGTTCATGATCTTAGAGGAAAAGCTTTTAGCTTTTCACCATTGAGTATGATGTTGGCTGTGCACTTGCCAGTTGAGGCACAAACCTTCTGTACCCATCTTTTGAGATGGGTATAGAAAAATTACAAATGGATGCTGAATCTTGTGAAATGTATTTCTATATCTGTTGAGATAGTCATGTTATTTTGTTTTTCCTGTTGTGATGTATTGTGTTTATGAGGACTTTTGCTTTCTCTCCATCAGGGATATGGGTATGTGATTTTCTTTTTCTTTTTGTGTCCTCTGGTTTTGCTATCAGTTTTGTAAAACTAGATTGTACGTATTCCTTCCTCTTCCAATATTGGAGAAGTTTGAGGATAGGTATTAAATTTTCTTTGAATGTTTGGCAACTTGATGACTAATGACTAATTCAATCTCCTTACTAGGAATGGGCACATTCAATTTTCTTCATGATTCAGTCCTGGAAGATTTTTTTGAGATTTTTCTTTCTAGAGCTATGCCTGTATTGTTATGAACTCTGTTAGAACTGCTTTTGCTGTCTCCCCAGGGACTTTGGTATGCCGAATTTCTATTTTCATTGGTCGCAAGGAATTTTGTATTTTCTTCAATCTCTTCATTGACCCAGTAGTGGGTCAATCTCCACATATAATAGGTGTAGTTCATACCATTGTGATTGAAAAGATGTTTGGTATGATTTTAATCTTAAATTCATTTAGATTGTTTTTATAGATATGATAGATCCTGAGGAATTTTCCATGTGCACTTGAAGAATGTTTTTTTTTTTTTTTAAAGATTTTTATTTACACAAGAACTGGGGAACAGGCCAGACTCACGGGATGGTGAGAGGATTCACCAGAGACAGAGTGGGGAACAGAACAGGCAGACTGACTGAAATACACTGCTGAGGGGAGCAGCGAGCAAGACAGGAGAGGTCTGCTGCACCATGTGGGACCCTCGCTGGCCAGCCAGGATCGCACCAGCACTGCAGAGGCTGCGGACAGCTTTACAGCGCTGCGCTCAACCACCTGCACCACCAGGGGAAGCCCTTGAGGAATGTATTTTTGCATGAAATATTCTTTATATATCAAGTTCATCTACTCTAGTATGTTTATAACCAGTGTTACCTTGTTGATTTTGTTCAGATGATCTGTCTATGTTTGTAAGTAAAGCCTTCTACTTTCACTGTGTTGCTGGTAATTTTCCCTTTATATATTTAGGTGCTTCCACATAGGGTGCATATATATTTATAAATGTTAAATTCTTTCATTGGAATTGTGGATAGTCTTTTATGTGATGTAAGTATGGCTGCATCACCTTTGAAAACATTTATATGGAATGTCTTTCCATCTCTTTCAGTCTTTAGTCTGAGGTGAGTTGCATGCAACATACAATGAGCCTCGCTTTTAAAATCTATTTACCAAAAAAAATAAAAAAAATCTATTTACCCATGTTTTTTGAGTTGGATAATTAGCATAATTATATTTAAGGTAATGACTGATAGTTTGTTATAGCCATCTCGTTTTGGTAGTTCCTGTTTGTGCTCTTCATTGTTACATTATATTTTTTGGATTTTTTTTTTAAAAAGATTTTATTTATACAAGCACTGGGTACAGTCAGAAGCACAGGAGGGTGAGAGAATTCACCAGGGCTAGAGTGGGGAACAGAACAGGCGGACTGACGAAAAACACTGCTGGGGGGAGTGCGCCAGGTGGGACCCTCGCCAGGGGCCGGGGATTGGGGATCGAACCGGCGACACTGCGGAGGCTGCAGGCAGCTTCGAAGCCCAGCACTCAACCCCTGCACCACTGGGGAAACCCACCCTCCCACCCCATTTCTTGAAGGCCCATTTAAAGGTGATGAGCTCCTCTAGCTTTTCTGGAATAGCCACAATTTCGCCTTCAATTCTGAATAATAACCTTGCTGGGATTGAACTGGCACTGCTGAGGCTGCAGGCAGCTTCGAAGCCCAGCACTCAACCCTCTGTGCCACTGGGGAAACCCACCCTCCCACCCATTTCTTGAAGGCCCATTTAAAGGTGATGAGCTCCTCTAGCTTTTCTGGAATAGCCACAATTTCTCCTTCAATTCTGAATAATAATCTTGCTGGGGAAAGTATTTTGGGATTGAAATTTTTCCCTTTTAGTATTTAAATATATTATGCCACTGTTTTCTGTTCTGCAAAATTTCTGAATAAGCAGATAGTCTTATTCCTTTGAATAGGTCTTTTCCCGCCATCCTTATAGGTCCCTTCAGGTTTCTTTAAACATTATTTGTGCTGCTGCATTGCTTTATCTTATGATTTATTTTTTGGTTTTATCTAGTATGCTGTTCAATTTGAAATGTGCTAATTATTTCTAACAGATTTTTTCCCATGTCTTAAGTGTCCATCGATGGATGAATGAATGAAGATATATGTGTGTGCATAATAATCATTTCACAATATATACAGGTAAGGAATTAATATTGTATAACTAAAAGTAATTTAAAGTTATGTGTCAATTATACCTCTTTAAAAAGCTTGTTAAAAGTAAGCTAACAGTCATTTTTTGCATGCCTTCCCTAACTATTCTAAGATCTGAATGTTAAGAGACACATTACACTAATTATTAGCCACACGGATCTTTATAGCATTCAAGAATTTTGTAAATGAATGAGTTATTATAAGGAATGATACATGGGCCTCCTGGTGGCGCAGTGGTTGAGCGCTGGGTTGTGAAGCTGCCCACAGCCTCTGCAGTGCCGGTTCGATCCACGGCTACCGGGCGAAGGTCCCACATGGCGTGCAGACCTCTCCTGCTGCGCCCACTGCTCCCCTCAGCAGTGTGCTTCGTCACTCTGCCTTCTATTCTCCGCTCTGGTGAATTCTCTCACTCTCCCGCGCCTCTGACTGTACCTAGTGCTCGTATAAATAAATAAAAAGATACATGATGAAATATGCTGAGCTGCTTGAAGATAAATTTGTATATTTAATAAATGGGACAAGGTCAAAGGTGTTACAGCAATAGAAATAGAAAATATAGACTTATTTTTTTCCTTGTCACTTGGCAACACTATAGCAATTCAGGAACATGCAGAATCAGGTCATTCATTTCTGGACTGTCCCACCTCTTTATTTCCCATGTATGCACTTATCCTTCAGAGTGAAAACTGCACTGATGTGAGCTAAGGAGGAGGTTGAGCTCAGACCAGACATTATATTTGTCTCAATAACAAGCAAATGACAACACTGGAGGGAACTGTCTTACTCGGTATGATGGGTGTCCACAAAGGAGGTTAGTGACCCCAGCCGGTCCTCCAGAGTATTAATTCTGTATCTCATGTAGAAGGTCGAGATGATTAGTGCACAGACACTGCAAGAGGATATAAAGGGAAATTCTCAATTGGTTACTAGCCAGGACCTGATGTTAACAAAAATAATAAGCTCAGCACCAACGCTATATTCAAGAAAAGATATTTCTTAAAAGAACATGGCCAAGGAGACTTGAAATGGTATTTTTCAACAGGCTGATGCTTGTTATAAAACTTTATAGAGCTAGGCGATTTAAAATTCTTTGGTCCAAATTCCTCAATTTTCAAATAAAGGGCATTATAATGGGATTGCTCAAGGCCATCCAAGTTAGATTACCAAGCCAGGGCACAAGCCACTGTCTCCCCCAGGGCCTGGCCACTGAGTGTCCAGTCTTGTTTCTTGTGACTCACAAATTCTGTTTTATCTGGAAACCGAACCGGGCCATTGGTTGTGGAGAACAGCCTAGAATTGGGTCAGACTATTTTCAAAAAAAACAACTGGTCACAGACTTGAAGCAGAGGAGGAAAGTCAATGCCAGAACTTACAGTAAACGGAATGACAGCCAATGTCATCTATGCCTCCAATTTACCCTCTAACTCATGTCCTCTAAATAAACAGTTCACACAACAATCTGACAACTGATAGTCTCCAGTCAGAACATAGTCCTCTGCTGAATTTGGCACATTTTGCTTTTTCTTTCCTCCCTTCTATTTTTTTTTTTTTTTAAATAAGAAGGGGATGAATATGAAAATGTGACCTAAGCCTAAGAAAAAAAAATACACTGAAGACAAAATTTGTCAAAATCTTGGACACATTAGAGACAACTGAGATTTACAGTGGCTCTGGGAAATGTGAGTAGAACCCATAGATTCATTTACTTACACAACTGCATAGACTATAAGAATATGTTGCAGAGACAGACAGCTCTGAGCCTTGACTTTGTGTAAGATTCCACTGGTTTCTAGCTGACCTGTTGAGTATAAAACAGAGCAACACTTATTTTTTTTACATCACGGTTCATTTGAATTCTGTCCCCACGTGTAGGCCCTGTTCTCCCACAGCACCCGTGACCCATCACCACCGTCCCTTGTGCTCTGCCCGCTCCTACTTTCCCCACGGTATGCCTCAGATATGGCCAGCTGGCAGGTTTTGTCTTTTTCCTGCCCCTGGTTTGTTTTCTCTATATCCCCCATATAAGTGAGAGGAATGAAATATATCTTTGAAAAGAAAGACATTTATCTTTCTCCTTCTGACTTAATTTGCAGAAAGCACCAATTTTAAAATTAGAATACACTTCCTTCATCCAGTAATATCCCTATAGGGGAAGAGGTACTTAAAAGAGACAATCATTCCTACGTATTAGAAATCAGAGAAAACACTAACTGAAAGGTGTAATTTGAAACCAGTAGACATAATTCTTCTAATACATATTCATTCAGAACATATTCATTGAGATCCTTTTCTATGTCAAGCATTGGAGTGAATGGTGAACTATGTTTGCTTTCATACCAATGTGAGAGGTAATTAGGGTACTTAGTAAATAAGAAATAATTCAATAATTAGAATACGCTTCCTTCATCCAGTAATATCCCTATAGGGAAAGAGGTACTTAAAAGAGACAATCATTCCTACGTATTAGAAATCAGAGAAAATACTGAGAGGTGTCATTTGAAACCAGTAGACATAATTCTTCCAATACATTTCATTCAGAACATATTGAGATCCTTTTCTATGTCAAGCATTGGAGCGAATGGTGAACAATATGTTTGCTTTCATACCAATATGAGTGGTAATTAGGGTACTTAGTAAATAAGAAATAATTCAATAATTTGAGTTTGCTAGCAATTTCTATGCTGTAGTCTCAAAGTGTTGAGAATAGTGAAGGGGCCTCTATGAATCTTCTCTTCCTTTGTAGTAAAGCACAGCATTGAGTTTTGTCTACTGAATGGATAAATGAATTAATATAAAACATAAGTGTTCTTTAAAAGTTATAAGCATATGTTCCCTTGCCAACCCATACGAAACAATCTCTTTCTTACCATGTGCAGGGAGACTCTTGCTTTTGCCTTCAGCCACTCTGTTCACATGGGGATCTGCCCGAGGTGGCTTTGCTTCTCCTTTGGAGACATTCAGAACTGTCTGGGAATCGGTCACATGGAAATCTATCAAGTCAAAATGAGGCTGGGTAAGTTTTCCTTCCCCACTGCAATCTCTTACATATTATGGCCAAGAAAATAAGTGGATCTTCTCAAAAGTTGGCTGAATGATTGGAAATCGAAATCCAATGCTCGAGCAAATAATAAAACTGTAAGGACAGTCTGTCCTTACCCTCTGACTCATGGGGACGATTCAGTTATGACAATAATATTGCTGAAATGAGGGGTAAGAAAATAGTGTGTTTCCCTCTTACAGCCACCCCACAACTATGTCTATTTAAGAGACATTTATTAAATGTACAAAAAGGGAAATGGATTTTTACCACACAGGCAGTTTCTTTTCCTAGAACTTTGAAACTACTTTCTCTAGATTTCCTTCATTAGGAAGACAAGGTGACTGCTGGTTTAAGGGATGGGCTAAGATTGTTCCATGAACAAGAATTAATTTAGTCACAATAGAAGAAGGAAAAATTTCTCAGACCTCTAGAGTTCTCGGATTCAGGACTCTGAGAGCCAGAACTGCTGTATTCTTCCATATCTTGCCTTCTTCGTTGAACTATTCCATCTAGATCTGAGAATTCATCGTTGAAATCCTAAAGGGAAATGATGAAATGAAGAGAGGCTCATTTCCCTTTATTAAAACCTGCAGGCCTTTGTAACCCCAGTCCTTTCACTTAGGCCTGATCTATAAACTACGGAAGAGCAGGAAGGAATACCCTATACTACTGGGCTTTTCCCAACAGATCTGACTACCACTTCTCTGGGCAGTTAGAATTCTGTCGCCAACAGTTGTTAGCCTGTTTCAAACAACAAATGTCTAGAAAAAAACTGGAATGCTGATGATTGAAAAATTTCCAGGGTGAGGTCAGAAAAATCTCATTAGTTTTTTGTTGTGAGAAAAAGTGACTGGAGTAGTTACATACATAGCAGAAAAGAACAGACAGAAAGCTCTAAATGCATGTTTGAACATGCAGACAGACACAAAGGTATTCAATTATAATCTGGAAACAGAAAAAGGAAAATGGCTTTAGCAAGTTAGACTCTGAAAGAGAAGTTTTAGCTTTTTTTTTCTTCATTGAATCAAACCAGGGTTGGTCAGTGATACTACATTTAAATTACAGAGAGTTGCTAGAGGACAGAGGGGTAGGTGACAAGTACGAATGTTCTTTTGTAGTCTACTTGTTCTCCCAAAGAACTTTAGAGCTTACGAAACAAGAGGTATCATTAAAATGTCCTGGCAAAGCTACATTTAGGCTGAGCTTTTCACACTTTAGTTAGCTGTCAAATGAAGGAGATTGCTCTCGTCAGTAAATTACCAACCTTCCACCTCACTACCATTTCTTTTGGTCGTTTCAATGTCACAAAAAAAATTTACAGGGAGAGGAAACTTGAAAAACTCAAGTTCCTTTAATTTAATGATGGATGGCCTACATCTATCAGGCAGTAAGCAAAGCTCTTTATAGATATGTTCGTACTTAATATTTGCAGCCTTATCAGGAGCTTGACATTTTACTGAAATAAGAAATAGCAGAGAGAGCCCATCCACTGGCAGAGCTCATGTGGGCTACACCCAGATTTGAAACCAGGTTTGTTGGATTCCAAATCACATGAGTTTAATTCTATTTTGTTCTACTACTCACTACTTTTTTTTTAAAGAGTTTTTAAAAAACAGATAAAAATCATACAACATAAAATTCACCATTTGAAGTGTACAATTCACTAGTTTTGGGGATATTCATAATGTTGTGCAATCATCATGATATTTATATCACCCATAGAAGCAAACCATCTACCCATTAGCAATCATAATTTCCCTACTCCCCTTCCCCCAGCCTTGGGCAAACACTAATCTATGTTCTTCCTTATGGATTTGCCTATTTATACATTTTGTATAAATGGACTCATTTATGGTCTTCACTCAGCATCCTGTTTCCAAAGTTGTTTCTATTTCGGGGGTATTATCAATAATGCACCTATGAACGTCTTGTACAACTTTTTGTGTGGACATGCTTTCCATCCCACTACTAACAGCTCTCCAAAGAGATTTTTAGATGTTGAAACCATGTCTTATACTGCTTTACCAGAAGTATTTCAACATTTCACAATAATCCATTTGGGAATAGTCATTTGATCTATATGGCTCGAACTCTATTGGGCCAACATTATCGGTACTGGAGATCTGTAGTCAACAAAGTCTAAAGGAATTTAAAAAATGTCTACCTTTTGCTTGGGCATTATAACTTTCTTCTTCTACATTTATCTCTTGGTATTTCTTATCTTCTCCATTAAGTTGTAAAGTTTTTATTTTTTTTTTATTTTTATTTTTTTTTTTTATTTTTTAATAGAGGCATGTTTTATTTTATTTTATTTATTTGTTTGTTTGTTTTGTTTATACATGCATTGGGTACAGTCAGAAGCACGGGAGGGTGAGAGAATTCACCAGAGCCAGAGCGGGGAGCAGAGCAGGCAGAAGGACCGAAGGACACTGCTGAGGGGAGCAGCGGGCGGCAGGAGAGGTCTGCGCGCCATGTGGGACCCTCCTCTGGTGGCCGGGGAGCAGCCGGGGATCGAACCGGCGCGGCAGAGGCCGCGGGCAGCTTCGCAACCCAGCGCTCAACCGCTGCGCCACCGGGGAGGCCCTAAGTTGTAAAGTTTTTAAAGACAAGAAATACTTTTGACTTTACCTGATGTCCTTATAGTGTTCACTAGCACAGTGTGTTGATGTAGATGATAGCCAATTTGGGGGATGAATCATACTTCACCCCAGATAGATTTGTGAATCCTTCTAAGAGAACATTGACAAGCAAACATAAGACTTTAAGAATACCCTCAAACTCACCAAGCTGGTTCACTATCACATTTTTCTTTCACAGGACAATTCTTCAGTTATTTGAAAAAAGTTTATGGCCTCCGATGGTCCCGTCTTCTGGACAGAAATGCCCTATTTCTTTACCTTTGTCTGAAATATTATGGCCCCAAGTTTCTCCCACTCCCTGGTCAAGGTGAGTAAAGGGGAGTTGTGGGACAGATTTCCTTTCTTTAGACAGTTACGTAGGCAACTCACCAGAGGCAGCGATGAAGGGCGGTCTGCCCGAAAACTGTTTTCAAGGGGAGACGGATTGGGACTGTTAGCGACACTTGTATTCTGAAATTATCAAAACAAAGTGAAAAGCCAGATCGACTAGAAAACTGTAAGAAATAGAAAAGAGAAAGCAACCAAGACTAAGGGATGTCATACTTACATCTAAGTGTCCACACACAGATTTTATTAGTTTGTAAGTTGAATCTCTGGAGAGTAAGGAGACAAATATGTACTGAAAAATAAGATGGAATAATTAACAGTTACCTCCTGACAAGTAAGTTCAGAGTTCAAAAATTTATCTGTATATATATTTATTATTTTCAAACAATGTAGGCCATTCTCTGGTCTATATTCTCATTCTGCTCACCCACTCCATTTTTATTTATAGAATATTTTCCCAAACTAGCAACCAACCCCCAAAAGCCCACTTTATGTAATAAATGCACAGCAAAATGAAGATTCTAATATCCTGACTTTGGGGTCCCAAACACACACACATAGAAGACCAGGTATAAAAAAAGCTAGCAAACACGAACCTATACCCCTGAAACATATATAGTGTTTGTTGTAAACCAACATTATCTCAAAAAAAATTTTTTTTTTCAGCTAGTGGTATCTGCTAGATCCTCTTTAGGTCCTTTTAAAAGTCTGTCTTTTTTCAAATGTATTTAACAGTTCCCAAGGGTCTACTGTCCCTGCGCTGAACTTGACTCCCATTGAAAACTTCCCAGGGGCTCTAATAGGCCATTTCTTTTTCAAGCTACTTCCAGATTCTTCCTGGCACAAATAGGGAGATTTTCCAGTGGGTACTTATTAAGTTATGGGAAAGTAAAACTAGAGCGAGACAAATAACCTGGAGACAAATCACATGTGGAAAAAGGATTTGCCCGTAAGTGCTGTTAATATAAAAACCTACTCTTTCTCCACTTAGTTAAGCCACAGCGTCTCTTCACTTTCCACAAGCTTGTAATATCACTCTCACTCACCAATGAGATAATTTGATGTAATTTCCAAGGAAGTATTATACCCCAAAATAGGTAACTTTCTAGGCTCTAGCATAAGACCCAGGTGCAAATTTTGGCCCTGACACACAGTGGGTAACATTGAGTAAATTGCATAGCCCCTCTTAGCTTTAGTGTCCTTCACAAATACTGACTCCTCAGGCCTCCTCGGTGTTGCAGGGGTTAAAGTCTCAGCGCTTTCAAGCTATCACCAGCCACTGTGGCATTAGTTTGATCCCTGGCCAGGGAGCTAACCTCACATGGCGCAGCAGACCTCTCCTGTCTCCCCCGCTGCTCCCCTCAGCAGTGTATTTCAGTAGATCTGCCTGTTTTGCTCCCCACTCTGTCTCTGGGGAATCCTCTCACCCACCCCCTGCACCTCTGGTCTACACCCCAATTCTTGTATGCATAAATAAATGAAAATCGTAACAAAGAAAACTAATACTTACTCCTCAGAGTGGAATTGTGTAAAAGAAAATAGTTAGCATGTACCTGGCAAGAAGTGACTACTTGTTTGTCATTAGTATTAAAAAAAAGTTCTCAAATTACATACTAATAAGCTTCCTAGTTTATCTTTCTCCTTATTTCCCTCAACAAGTTAGAAGTATGGTTAGAAATAGAATGTAGCTTTTATGCCTTCATTAAAAAAAAAGTAGGTAAGATATTAAAATAGTAAGTTGAAATGAAAAACAAGTTACCAAAAAGTCCCACTCCCTCTCTTGCCAAGCTGAAATTGACCATGAGCGATGCAATTATTTCTGGGTTTGTATGTCTGGGATAGTCCAACAGATAACAGATCAAGAATTTCTGTATATAAGAGGGGTAACTGAGACAACCTGGAAGTGTTATGTTTTGGGGTGACTTTAGAGTAGTAACAATTGAGGTCATGGGAAGCCAGGTCCCCCCACCCCAGGGATTCCCCAGTGGTGGTGATTTTAATATTAAAGAAACCAATTATATTAGTTTAGCCTGACCTAACAGATGTTAGGGAAAGGTAAGTAGGGAAGGAATTTTAATTTCTTGACCTTGGTCAAGCAAATATAATTGTTATCAGGAAATTCAAAATTGGCAATAATCACATTAGAATAAATCAACCTATGAGGGAAAAGAACACAAATGTTCAAAGGCTATGATTTTAAAAAATAGTCTTCTATTTCTTGGATCACCACAGAAAATGGCATTTTTGCTTCAGGATCTTGGTCCTCAGCAAGAGGCCCCTAAGGTCACAGAGCCCCAAGCTAGACAAAGCAAAGGTGTCTTCGCGTTGTGGGATACTCACCCTCTCTTGGACTGTTGTTATAATCAGGGCATTTGGCACCAACAGGGCTGTTTTGGTTTTCTTTATTAGGGTTACTGAGAACACCGGAATACAGATCTGAAATAGAATGTCTGCGTTAATGCTGCTTCAGGTTTCACAGAACAACACTCCAAGTATTCATGTTTAAGGAAAAATCAAAAATCATAATGAATCTAAGTGAGCAAGCTCTCAGCCTCCATGAAGAAAAGTGAATCTTAAAGAGTGTCGTGGCTGTGCCAGTGAGCGCCTCCAGTGGTGTTTGCAAGACTTGAGGAGAAACCGAGAGCACTGATTTTACTGGAAGGCTTGGTGCCGAAACCTTTTATCTTTAGAGAATAGCATGCAAATGTACACGTTTTAAAGAATGCACGTGGTTGTGGTCATTCACTTTAGGCTCACCTCCACACACCTGATCCTGTCTTCTGCACGTGTGGTGGGGAGTGCTGAGAAGCAGTGGTGCAGTAGAGGCATCACTGGAAACAAATCTGGGCCCTTACTTCTCAATTCACTCCTCTCGCTATTTACATGTCCTATACAACCTTACACGCTGTCCTTTCTAGGCCAGTTCCCTGATTTGTAAAATGGAAAATAAAATAATCCTAACTACCTTCCACGACTGGCCATGGATTTTCTGCTTCAAACGTAAAAACGATAAGAGTTACAGCAGCTATCATTATTAATATCGAGTCACCAGATGAGAATGTCATTTAATTGATAATTTGATAGCTGTTCTAAGAGAAATGCACATCTGTTTAAAAAGGCATATGACTTGCTCCAGGTCATAAATATAATAGGTTCCTTTTCAATGTAATAAAAGAATGTAGCAGAGGCCACAATGAATAGTGGATTTTTCTGATATGTTTGTTATATCCCACCAGCCAGGTTTGGTCTCCACAAAAAAGGATCGCTTCACTTTGATCCCTGCAAAGAGTCCGACACATCCATGGTAAAAGAAAATGACGCTGTGATTTTCACAACTAGTACAAACATTACTGTAATGAACATTTGAACTAAAACCTGACACTCACTTGAACATCTATTTTGTGAAAATGCTTTGTGTATTCTGAAAGCGATTAACAGGTCAGTGAGGAAGAGGAGGTGCTCACGTTAGTACTGCCAGTGTGAAGGAAGGAAAATGAGTTTTTAATTTTGAATATTTAGAGCTGTGAGCTGGAGTTCTACTGCCCTTTAGGATTCCAGCTAGGAAAGCTCTGGAAAAATAGGGGTTAGTCCAAATTAAACATTTTATGAAAACTATTTAGCCAAAGAAGTTGACGCACAAAAATGCTGCAGTGAGGTCATAACTCAGAAGTTGTAAGTTAGGACACCTTTGGAGAAAAAAAATTCCAGATCTACCAAGCTAGATGGTGATGTAAAAATAAGTCTAATATTTCTTCTGAGCGGCAACACAAATGCAGCAGCACAGGACTATCAATTTGGATTATTTTGTAATCTAAAGCATGGAGTACCCTTAAGTTTTCAATCAGTTGCTTCTTTAACATGAAATAACAGTGAGGTAGCCTAACTCACTTTCCAGTTTGAGCCTACGTGGAATGTGATACATTATAATTTACTCACATCTGAAAATACTGACAGGCTGACTAAATGCTCCTGATTAAATTAAGGCTACATTAGTATTTTTTCAGGGCGCTTAGAAAATTCCACTTCTAAGACCGAATTGTTTGGGTTGCCCTTAGTTCACTCTCACTACCATGGTTCTTGTCTTCCCAGCCCCTGTTAATTTTTAACCTCGTGTCTTGGATTAGACAAGCACATCCAAGAGCAATCCCATTATGTCCATGACTTTACGAAACTAGGGTCACTCCTTGCTTAAGGTAGAAGCAGGATTTTGATTTTGAACCCATCACTAGAATCTTATTAGCTTGAAACTAACTAGCAGCTTTGTGAATTTTTCTATCTCTAACAAAGTAATTCTTCATCTGCTAATGTCTTCAACCCCTGCTGCTTTGATCGAAAGTGCTGGCTCCCTCTGCATTCCTGAGAATTACCTTTATCACGGTGAACTGGACATCAGTACTACCCACCTCCGCCCCCACTCCATGAACAGGTTCCTATAAACCAGCAATCTAGAAATATGGTGCAATACTACTTCATACTGCTTTGCATTTTATGGATTCAGATAAAGCTGTTACTCAGAATATGTTTAAACACACAATGAAGGGTTAATATAAAAACACATTTGACAGAGAATAAACAGTATACTAGTCCACTGAGCCAAAACCAACTTCCCTGGTATTTCTTTCATGGTCTTTACCTCTATTTAAACATTCTCTTCTTACGTAAACATTCTCAAAACAAAGAATGTATAATCAGCTCAAAACAATAGGAATTTTTAATGAGCTGCTTCTTGAATGTAAAAGTGGCTTTTCATAATCATAACTCAGGTGACTGGAAACTCACTGAGGTCATGCAAACCCTGGGTGTTTCTCTGACTCCACATGCTGGAGGCCTGAATGAACTATGACATGATATCATGACTCAAAAGAAAAAAAGCCAGTGAGATGGAATTAACTTCCCTTCTTATGCCACAGTCCCAAGAACCTCCTTTTAGAAATGGTGACTTAGGGGCCACCCTGGTGGCGCAGCGGTTGAGCGCTGGGTTGCGAAGCTGCCCGCAGCCTCTGCAGCGCCGGTTCGATCCCCAGCTGCTCCCCAGCCACTGGAGGAGGGTCCCACGTGGCGCGCAGACCTCTCCTGCCACCCGCTGCTCCCCTCAGCAGTGTACTTCGGTCCTTCTGCCTGCTCTGCTCCCTGCTCTGGCTCTGGTGAATTCTCTCACCCTCCTGCACTTCTGACTGTACCCAGTGCTTGTATAAATAAATAAATAAATAAATAAATCTTAAAAAAAAAAAAAGAAAAAGAAATGGTGACTTAGGAAAACTGCCAATTCCTTCAGGCAATTCTCCTTAATAGCTCAGGCCTCTGCTTCCCGCCCACTCATGTACTTAATGAGTAAGAAAGATGTCCATCAGTGTGCCCTGGGGATTGTGGTATGAGACTGTCCAAGGGTAGACTTGAAATGTGCCAGTTCCTGCTCATTTTGTGCTGGTGATGGTACAAAGAATTCTAGTAAGTAGCTTATCCATAGGTTTGTTTTCCTAGATGTATCCAATGATAACTGGTATAAATACAGTATAAAAATGGATATTTCTTGAAACAATTATTTTGAGTTTAATGTACATATTTGTGAAAACTTACTGTGCACCCTCCATATTAAATATCTTTGAGAACAGGATGATAACAGCTAGATAAAAAGGATTCATTTAGGGTAAGGTTGTGGGAGAGAGAGTTGTATAAGAAAGTAAATGACTTTGGTGTTAAGGGAAAAAGAGAAGTTATTTCTATCCTGAGCCACTGAGAACCTGTAATTTTTGCAACTACAATAAAGGAAAGTTGGTGTAAAGATTTAATAAAGACAATATTTATAAATACTGTTACACTTAATCAATATTCACAATATGTAATAAAGTAAGAGTTAGCGATTTTAAAGAAAATTATACCAACCTTAATATCTTTCCCAAAGACCTTGGAATAAAAACAAATCCAGTTTTCTGATACAAAGAGTTTTCCTTGATATAATATTTCTTTCTGTAGAGCACAGGTAAAACCTGGGGGACAAATATACAGGTATACCATCGGTTAGATTTTCCATTTAAAAAAAATTCTGTACGTATGTTGGTGACAGATGGGCAGAGATAATAGGGTCATATGTTCAAAAAAATTATCACCTCAGTATCAGTGGAATAAAGCCACAAGACTTATTTTTTTTTTAAGTCTTAACAACCTTAGTATAAAAATCAAAATGCAGGGCCTCCCTGGTGGCGCAGGCGGTTGAGCGCAGCCCTGTGAAGCTGTCCACAGCCTCTGCAGTGACGGTTCGATCCCTGCCGGCCTTGGAGCAGCTCATATGGTGAGCAGACCTCTCCTGTCTTGCCCGCTGCTCCCCTCAGCAGTGTATTTCATCCGTCTGCCTGTTCTGTTCCCTGCTCTGTCTCTGGTGAGTTCTCTTACCCTCCCACGCCTCTGGCCTAAATAAATATAAATCTTGTATAAATAAATCTTATATAAATAAATCTTTAAAAAAAAATCAAAATGCCAAGGCAAGTCTATCACTGCAAATGAGAACTCAAAAATAGTATTTCAAAGATCTCTTCTCTTTAGGGGGACATGTTATCCTGGGTGATGTCAGGCTCCTGACCCCTTTCCTAGATTGTCACCAATGACTCCTTTTGAAATAGATGGTGTCTCAGTGGGAAGAGCGCACCACCCATACCTCGCTATCTAGAGGTCATGGCAGAATCTAGTAGCTTGTCTTCACATTTTTGCATGGAAGGGGGCAGGATGAGACACTGATCCCTTGATCACACACAGTGGGGCAGAGCAGGAGCTTAGCTGGCATGTTCATATATGACATTTGGGTGCGATCATCACACCCTGCACAGTGAAGGGGCCAATGTGTCTGTCCACTTTGATCTCTGTTCACTTTTTAGTGTCTTTCTAGTTGCCTTTCTTGCTCCAGGCCCGTTAATCTCAGGACACTCCAAGCACAGTGCATTTCTGCAGTGAATGTGGAAGGCGAGGATACCATTCTGGAATGATCCGAATGATACCCTGTCACAAGGAGAGATGCAATTTCCCCTTCTCCTCTCTTGTCTTCCCAGGGACCGGGAAACCGAAATGAAGCTGGCAGGCCTGTTGGTTACATCCTGACTTTTAGAAATCTACTTAAGTAGATTGCCAAGAATTATGAATGAAGAGAGCTCATGTGCATCTCCTTAAATTATTCAGTTATCTGCTTAATTGCTCCATGCCGAACACTTGTTGAGTTATGCATTACTGTATTTAACTTGTTGCTTAATTTCTACATGTTTATTTTCAGTAAATGGCGCAAAGTGTTAGCTGGCCCATATTTTTAGCACAATGTGCTGCACACAGTTCCCAACAAGCAAATAAGGTTACATGTGTGCAGAATTTCCTTTGGATTAACTATATATTGCCTGGGTCTAGTTGAGTTCTTTTTTTAATTTTTTTTTTCCCAACTTGAAATGCTGCCTTTTTATTGTTTGAAACTGAAAATAAACAATTATGGAACCATTTTGAATTTAAAGAAAAATCTACCCATTTGGGTGATTCAGTCCCCAGACTGCACCCGCTTCTCCCTCCCCAAATCCATCAACACCTTTTCAAAAATGTAACTTCAAAAGTCCAGCAGGTCAGAACTTACTTTGTCTCAGCTGTTCATCAGTTGGGACCGTAACAAACAACTTGTGAAACTGCATGTTTGCCTTGTACTGCAATGAGAACAGAAACAGGCGTCACTGCTCCCACTTCTGAGATGCAGCATACACCTCAGCTCCGATTCAGACTGCCTGGCAGTTTCTCCCTCCCTCACCCTTATTAGAGCATCTTCTGGAATCCCTTCTCTGATCTTACAGAATCCAACACCACCCTTCCGTGGCAGAGAGTGGAAGGCAGGGCACCCAGGTCTTGCTTTCCAAACAGATTCTGGACTAGCTGCTTGGACAGACGTCTGTCGTCACCACGCAGCTGGTGGTGAGCTTTCTGCTGAGGTGACTGGGCGAGGATGTCCCCGAGAGTCAATGACATGCAATTTGAGGAAAGTGGTGGATCCCAGGGCGCTCAAGATACAAATGACACTCAGAAGAGGGCAGATAAGCCTGCATGTAAGTCTTGGCGGAACCTCTTGGGTTTGTGATCACGGCCTAGTTACTTAAAACTTTTGGGGCCTCAGTTTTCCCTTGTGAGCCAGAGATCAAAAATAGCAGCTGTTTAAATGATGCTGTAAGGCCTCATTTAAAAGACCTACCGCCTGCTTTTATCACTATCACTATTATTGTTTATGTTTCCAGTCTCTAATTTAATGTGTTTTAAATAGAAATGAGATGATAGCACCCTACTTTTTAAAGTCTGACATATCAAAGGTAAATTCCCCCATCAATAAAATAATTCCCCACAAAGATATTTTAACAAATGTAGTCTATTCCATTATATTAAAGTAACAATTTGTAACATAATTTATGTAGTGATTTCCTAATTAACCATATTTTTCATTTTATTGCTATTATAACTATCACAGTAATATACAGTTTAACTAAAATTTCACTTTTCACACTTTTCAGCACATATATATATGTATGCTTATACATACAGGTGTGCGTCTATACATCACCCACAAGTACAGGCCTGTAAGTGTGTGCATGGCTATCACTGTAATTACCCTGAAGGCGTGTCCTGAGCCACTGTCAGAGGGAGATGACTGTCAGGACATGGAGTTCCTACAAAGCTCTTAACTCTCAGGGCAGTGGAAGGCCCAGGAGTTTCTTATGCTGCAGATCATTCCATTTTCAAAATATCTGTTTCCACAACTGTGATAACAACCACGTACAGACAGCAATTGTTTACTGTTTGTAAAATATTTTCACAAAAACCACCCCCTCAATGACCAGGGTGCTGCTGTCCCCATTCCAAGGGTTCAGGCAGCGCCTCAGGGATATGAGTGGCCTCACTGGCACCACGCAGCTACCGAGAGGTAGATGTGGATTCTCCTTCCATGAGACCATTCTGCCTTACAGGGAGCTTTTTTTTTTTTTTAATAATAAATTTTATTTTTATATTCCCCATACAATTGCAACCCCCTTATTTTGACCCCAATCCCTCCCCTCCCACCCCCTATCCCCCATAGAGAGTCTTTGGTTCATAGTTGTTTGTTGATTTTGATTTTCACTTTCTTATAGTTATTCATTTTCCTGGTCCCTTGATGCAAGGATCTTATGAGCAGAGCAGAAAGATAGCACAAGTAGGCGCTTGACTGGCCCTATTTCTGCTGTAAAGGAGAGCTTCAGACAGGTCATGTAGATGGATGGCAGATGTCCCCCAAAAGTTAGTGATTTTATAGATAAGCACCTCCAATAAAGTACATCACCTCACATTGCTCTCTAGGGGTACATTTTGCATCCAGAAAGCGACCTTCATTAAAGCTAAATGACCTATGGGGGATTACTGAGCTTTTGGGTTTAATGTCTAAAAATGGTCACACTTGATTAAAAATATTCTGGATCATGGAATCTTCAAGAATGTGAGCATAATACAAAAAAGATAGTGGGGCTGATCTAAATTAAAAGCAACATGACAGATACAATTCATGGTCCTTGACTGATTCTAGAGAGGGAAAAACAAAAAGACTTTACAAAGGACCGTGACATCTGGGGTAATTACAGAAACTAGACAATGGATTTTACATTAAGAATACTTTTGCATATTTACTATTTAGTTAAAGTGCTTGCGTGTGCCAAAAGGTTTTGTTCTACTTATGAGGAATCAAACATTCAAATATTTAGAGGTAAATTATCCAAAAAAAAAAAAAAATCCCCAAACTGTTGGCTCCAGTAATTATGTCACACTCTGACACAGAACTGGTCCTTGTTACTAAAATTACCTCTGGAGGAGAATCACGTCCCTGTTCACAGGTATTCCTGCCCCGTGTGCAGCCGCAGGGCGTTCTATTCACACCGGTTCTTTCATTTCCTACAGGATGTCACATCAGCTATTTCTTAGAAAAACACACAACCCTACTCTTGACCCTTCTCAGGTAGGGCTCACTACCCCTCAGTATATGGTAGAAGATCAGTTGTGAGTTACAATAATGATGACAAAATTGTCCCAAGCAACCGGAGCCTGTCCTTTCTTCTCCATTCTAACCTACCCCGGAGGCAGTACTGACCGGGAGGCAGCTGCACACTGGGGTTCTTATTTTCCATTGACTTTGATGCCTGCTGGGCCAGCACATACCGCAGTCCCAAATTACCTGGCTGGAAGACGAAGATTTTTTCCTTTCAGTCTTAGAATCACTTTTGCTTTCTGTTTTACAGTCACTCTTATCATTTGGTGAACAGGCACCATCACAACTGGATTTTGACCTGAGGAAAGAAAATCCAGGGACTCTGTAAGAAGAATTTTTCATGCTACTCACTCACTTTATTATAATAAATCTTGAATATTAAGCCATCTCGCAAGAAAACCTGATGTAGTCTCGCTCTTCTAGACTTCAATAATCACTCATAATACTCCACGGGCATTTACATAGCATGTGCTGTAGAAGGGTGGAATGATTTCAGCAGGCTGTGTGAGCAAACTGCAGAAATTGTAATTTATAGTAGGGAGAAGTAACCACCAAGTTGTGAAAGTAATTATATCATCTCAAAAGTATTTTAATCAGTATAAAGATAATACTAGAGGCAAGTTTTCAACAAAATTGCAGCTATAGTTCAATCAAAGAATATTTTGTTTCAGAATTGCATTAATATTTTACAAGTGTTAATAGAGTGCACCTTTGTGTTACATGCCTTCAGGTACACAAGACTCTTTATCCTCAAGGAGCTCGTGCACACACGAAACATCTTTTTTAAAAGGCAGTAAATGATTTAGCAGCTAAACAATAAAGATTACTGGAACAGGAGGTGGTACAGAGACAACCAGCCTAACAGGAGGTAAGAGAAGAAGAGACGAACAAGACAATGTGGGTTTATTACACCGGGCATAAGAGGGTGAGCAGGAACTGGGTATGCAGAAGAGAGAGGCAGAACATTCTAGATTGGGAAAATTGTAGAAGTGATATCAGGACAAAGAAAAGTACATATTTGGAAGTCAAGTTCTCCTTTGTTCTCTAAAGGGGAGCGCTCAGAGTTCCAGGATTCTAAGGTGATTCCAGTCCTGACTCCCCATTGGAGTAGACATGCGAGATTGCACTTATCTTCAACCCTACATACAGTCACTTCAAAGTGGAAGGCATGTGCGATTTTTAGAAGTATATATGAGTGAATTTTATGATACAATCATGTTGATTTATTGGGGGAAAATGGCATACGAAGCTTGTATTCCAAAATATGATTTCTTAGGATGAGGCTGAGTTAAAAACAAAATTTGGGGGCCTCCCTGGTGGCACAAGGGGTTAAGTCGCAACACTATGAGGCTGTAGGCAGCCACCACAGCACAAGTTCAACCCCTGGCCAGGGAGCTACCCACATGTCATGGCAGACCTCTCTTGTCTGACCCGCTGCTCCCCTCAGCAGTGCATTTCAGTCAGTCTGCCTGTTCTGTTCCCCGCTCTGTCTCTGGTGAATCCTCTCACCTATGTACTTCTGGCCTGTACCTCAGTTCATGTATGCATACATAAATGAATTTTTATTAAAAAAATTGGTTCAAAGTGGATTGAGGAATCAAGTAATTTGGGTGGTACACAAGTGTCACTAAGGGACAGAAATGGTGGAATCAGACAGACTTTAGGCTTTGGTTTCTCAGCTGGGGAGACACACACTCTGTGTTGTCCCAGGCCCTTTCAGTCCTGCCAGTTTGAGTCCATGATGCTCAAACCACACATGAAAGTCTCTCAGCAATTCAAGGCACAGACCAGCCATCAAACATATTCACAGATACAAATTCCTTTAGGCTTCCAGGGCTCACTCCCGCCCCTTCCAAATTATGAGTAAACCCTTTGAAAATCGTTTTAAAAAATATGAAGTTGGGCCTCCCCTGGGGGCGCAGCAGTTAAGCGCTGGGCTGCGAAGCTGTCCGCAGCCTCTGCAGTGCTGGTTCGATCCCCGGCAGCAGGCAAGGGTCCCACATGGCGCGAAAGACCTCTCCTGCTGTGCCCGCTGCTCCCCTCAGCAGTGTATTTCGTTGGTCTGCCTGTTCTGTTCCCCACTCTGGCTCTGGTGAATTCTCTCATCCTCCCGCGTTTCTGACTGTACCCAGTGCTTGTATAAATAAATAAATCTTTAAAAAAAAATATGAAGTTACCTATTATTTATACTATCCACTAATTTGAGTCTATCACCTCTACTGCTTCAAATGAATAAATATTAATGGAGTCACCAAGGAAATAATTGAATCTTTGAAGTACCATGGACTGGGAGCCAGTGACAAGCAGGGCAGCTGTACCTTGGTCATTCCAAGAGGAACAGCAGTAAAGGGCCCTGTCTGCACAGCCCTGGTCTCTGGGGAGAGGAAGGTGCTGATTTACATAGTATTGATTTCTTTTTTGGCCTCCTGACCACATTATTCCCACTTCCTACAGGTGACTTGTGGTACCAGAAGCCTGGTACAAAATGAAAATACGGGGCTCCTCATTCAAAAATGAAGAACTCCCAGACAGCGAGAGCAGAGCATTACATACAGCAAGGGCTGTTCACAGCATGTAGATTACACGCCCCCCAAGTTTAAGGTGCGTGCCCTGAAGATGAATGTATTATTCTCATCTGTAGCCTGGGGAAAGTTGGAGTGAAACCAACGGTGTTTTTCAAGTGCCTGCTGCGGCGAGCCACTATAGGCCACGACACAAGAAACAACATGCTTTGTGCCTTTGCGGAGGGGCTCCGGCGGCAAATGAAGCAGGGTGCTCTAACAGGAAACAGCTACAGGGAAAAAAACAGGGTAAATGTGAGATGCGTCAAAACAGGCCGGTGAAAAGCTGCAGAGATACTCGAGAGTGCTAGAAAAGAAAGATCTAGGCGAAGAGGGAGGCTTGGTTCTGAATGAAGGCTAGATTTAGAGGGGAGATAGGAGCTGGGTAGCCAGGAAGGGGAAGCAGGAGCTGTTAGTCATCACGCAGCAGGGGCCGCGGGCCAGAGGGGGAAGCAGGTCTCCCCGGGAGGAGAGCGACCGCTCGACCGTGCGGTGCAGACAGACCGCCACATTTACCTGAAATGGATCATCGGGTTAACCATTCTCTTTGAGGAGCTAAAAAGCAAACCTACATTTTCCTTCTCCCTGGAAAGAAGCCTGTAACTTCTGTTTGCGATGGGGACCACCGTTCCAGCCACCTCACAGCCTCCACAACCAAATGCATCCTGGCTCCCAGCCCCAGAAACTAGGGGTACATGCTGCCCTGGGGAGCCCAGACGGGGTTTCCCTCCACCTGTTTTCGTGGCTACCAGGAGAGAGAGAGCAGGGTGCCCCACCAGGGGCTGAGCAGACACTCCGGGCTCAGAGGACCTCATGGGCAACCTGGCCAGCCTATCCAGGTGCTTTAAAATCTCTGTGGGAAAGTGGGCCTTATCAGTCAGCAAAATCAGTGCTTTATGAGTAGACACTTTGTAGAAGGCTGGGACTGGAGGGAGCAAAAGAGGGTGCTGGAAGAGCTGGAGATGAAGGTGACCACCAGGGCTTGAATGTCAGGGAAAAGGACCCACTTTTTCTCAGAGGCGTTATTTGCCTCTCTAGGTCCTCACTCTTAACCACCATAAAACTAGAAACCCCAGCTCCTCCCGGCAACCCCTCTTCCAATCCAGCCGAAAAAGAGATGTGACGAGAGAACTCACCGTAGGGAAATGATTCTCCTTTGGTCCGGGGACTCGGCCTCACTGGACAGCGTTGGGGACTGGGGTGGTGGCGACTTGCAGACCTTCTTCTTCTCCTCCACACCATTCTCAGCCTCTGAGCTGGAGAAGAAACAAAGACGCTTCACCTTAGACATCCAGAAGGGGCGGGTGGATAAACGCTGCAGGGACCTCACTCTCTGCAGAGTGGACTGATCTTCTGGAGTGAACTTTGACAGCTGTGGCTGTTTCAAATCTCTACTCTAACCTCTTTCACTGGTGCCTCAAGGAAAGCAGCTGCAGGTCATGCTTGCTTCATCAGGTAGATGTCCAGTTTTATGTTCAGGTAAACGTCAGACTTTGTGGGGACTGGCTGGCTCCCAGCTCTGTGTCCTGCGTGGGCCCTGCTCTGCTGTGCTGGGGCAGCTGATCACCTGCAGGCTGTGGGAGGGCCTCCGCGCACACTCACTCCACACACGCTCACACATACCCAGTCACGTGAGGCCCACTGCAGGTGTGAGCCTTCCTGCTGGGAAACCCCAGGCCCTTTGTTTGCCAGTCTCCTATATCACTGATCAACTTTTGTTGTAGTTACACAGGCTCCACATTGGGTGTTGTTATTTTAACCACTTTATAGTCTCTCATCTACATCCACCCAGGCTGGGTGGGAATGATTACCCCTATTTTATAGAGGAGGAATCTCAGGCTCCCAGATGTTGAGTATCTTGCCCAAGTTCCCTGAACCAATAAAGTCTAAGTTGGGATTCAAACTCAGGTCTGTCCATCTGTAAGGCCTTTGTTGGGGCCAGAATCTTCTTGTGATATTCACAAAGGGCCTTGGATAGTGCTGGTCTATAATGTGATCACGGGGCTCTGGGAAAACTAGATCAGACCTTGGTAAAAGAGGGAGGAGAGGGGACAGTAAGTCGAGAGGGGTTGGCACACCGAACCACAAATGAATGGCGGTCAGCGATGTGGGGGACTCAGAACTGAACTCCCTCAGTCTCACGAACAGAGCAAACCATTTGCCGTGGAGAAAAGAGGAGGGAAGGCAGGTGGTGGCACAGAACGTACGGTGTTATGTACATGGCTGAGACTTTCTTTGGTGCCAGCCGGACAGCAAAGAACTGAAAACTTACTTCTGAGAAGCCCATGGTCGCCGAGCACAGAGGAAGACATGTTAAGAGAGCATTGCTATGACAGGTTAGCTATTTTTAAGCCTGGCTTACCACCCACTTGGTATCTTCACCTGCAAATGACCTCGTAGACAGGAAGCATTATTGGTTAGCCTAAGCGCTGTGCTTGCTTAACACTTTTCGCAGCATATGAAAATTCCAGCCCAGACACGGAGTCCTATTGGAGGGTCAAAATCAAGACCAAGCACATCTGACCAGTCATCCAGTTAATAGTCCCTATGAATGGTCACTGCTCTCATTCTGTAGCTGGCATTCCCTTTTCCTAAGCAGGTAACATCTGAGGACAGAGGCCCAACTTTCCACGTCTTCAGCTCTTCTGAAAGTACTGAAAGCACCCTCAGTGCTTAAAAGATCTCAGTCCATAAGTGAACCCCATTGTGTGCAAGGGTATATGGGAGGTCTTGAATCATTATCAAGAAATACCGCTTTGGCTTAAAAGATAGGATTTTAAATTTAACATCAAGTTCAATTTATGCATTCAAAGAATTTCAGAACTTTCTGCCTCTCCCCTCCAAGACACACATAATCCCATTTCTCAAAAGCATCCAGCAAAATCCACTCAAGTGTTTATGAAACCTCAATAATGCTTCAAATTCATTCACACATTTACTGGATTTTATGGAGGGTCAGATTAAAATGTAGAGGCAGTGCCCTGGCTGTCCCTGAGCACAACTCTGGACTTGCTGCTCCTGTTTGAGCGCAAAAGGTGCCCCTCTGTCTCGATGGAGCCCTCCAGACAGACAAACACGGCGGGCAGGGATAGGCTGCCCTTGGCTCTGAGCATGACCAGGCCGGCACCAAGGTCCAAGAGAAGCAAAGTTCGGCTGGATTTCAGCCCCTCCTCGCCCGGTGTCCCTTCCTGGCCAAGCAGGCTTGTGCAGGCGGGCCCTGAGCGCGTACCCATACTTGGTGGTCCTGTTTTGGGCCCCTGGCTGGAGCACCAAAAAGATGATAGTTCAGGTCTCTCTCTCCCCGCCAACCTTAGCACTGTCTTTGACAGACAAGTTAAATGGCTTCTTTCTTGACAGTCTCCATCTCACTTTTCCTTCAACTCGCACCTGGCCTCCAGCACTACCTCCGCCTTGAAGGCACTCCCTAGGGAACAGGCTCCACCAAGCCTTCCATTGGCTCTGCCGGCTTTACGCTAGGCTCCTCATCAGTGAATGACGTTTCTTCGTTTCTTCGTCCAAATGTCTTACTTATCCAACCAACTACTAGCCTGAGTCCCTTTAAAGCTGGGGACTTCGACTTTGGTTTTTGCAAAGCACTCAGCTCAGCATTTTGTTCACAGCTGCCATTTGCGTGTTGACAGGTGTGAGATTACTTCTGAAGTGTCTCAGAGAGGAAGTGAAATTTATCTATGGACCAGTCCACTTTAGGTGTCTGCTGACTTAAAGATGCGGCGAAACTCAGGCAAGTTAATTTCTGCCACAGGAGAGCTTCTTCCCGCGAGCGCCCCCACCTCAGAGGTCTTGCCAGGCGCCCACAGAAACGACGCACCACCCCAACGGCAGAGACTGGCCCGTGTTTGAAGGAGCAGAGTGGGAGGAGGAGGAGAAGCCTTTCTCAAGGCCTCTCGGGAACTTTGAAGTTGCTGTGACTGAAGCTGAGCTCCTGGTTCCAGGTAGATGAAAAAGCAAGTCTCAGGTCTCATTTAAATCATGAAAATAAGGAAATCTGTTTTTTTTAAAAAACTCAAGAAGACAAGGCACTTTCAAGGACACTGTCTGAGAGTCAACTAAAAGTAGAAACACAAATAAAGGAAAAGCAATTCTCTTTCAACGTATGGCTACTGGCCGGGTCCCTGGCTGGAAGGTAGGACGCTTGGAGCGGCCTGGGCGAGACAGGTAGGTCGGGGACAGTTGAAGTAGCCACACACGCAGCAGTGGACACTGGGAACCCGGGATCGACCTTCACTTCACTTTGGCGGGTTATTTCTTCTTCCATCCCCACCACAAATTTAAGCCTCAGTTACAGGCCCTGAGCACATTTTAGCGGGGATTTTAGAACAGCAAGACAGGGAGCCTGACTGATGCCAACTAAGCCTGGCTTCACCTACTGGGGACAGCATTTGTTTAACCAGCCTGGAAGTACTGGTTTCAATAAGACACTGCCACACACTGTTGCACAATCTATAAATAAAAAACAGGTTGGTCAATCCCTATCACCAGTCCAATATTTGTCAACTCCCAGTCCTCAACAGCCTGGTCAGGACAGGATTCGGATTTCGCAAGTTTGCAGAATTGGAATTCTTCCGTGGAGCAACTATCATCCATCCTGGAGAGAATGAGCTTCAGGAAAAGTCAGCTCTCCTCTCTCCCCACACCGGTCTCCCGGGCCCCCTGTTCCTGCTGCTGAGGATGTGCTGTCCTCAGACACCAACAGTAGCAGGTCAAGGTAAGTAGTTTGTGGGCAGGATGATTAAAAGGCATCTCGGGTGAAGGAATGAACTGTGTCTCAGGTAAATGAAAACAAGTGCCCTGCCCTGGATCAGTCCAGAAAGCTGGGTCACCTTCTGGTCAGTGAGAAAGCCCTGAGTCGGAGTGTACCCGATTGTTTTAAGTTCGTCTAAACGAAGGCATAAAAATATCACCAACTCCCTTACGAAAGGGGGGGTGATGGCCATTTTCCACCCTCTATCACTTCAAAAAGTCCATGTCATCTTCTAAAACTTTCTTAAGCAACACAGGTTTAGAAGTAACTTGAAGAGTGGCCTTAGGATAAATGCTGGATGGTGCGAAGGGCAGGCGGTCAACAGCCCTGTGGAAACTCTGGACTGGCTATGAGGCTTCACCTGGACTTTCTGGCCTGGCCTCACCTTGTGCTGCTGGCCCCCGGCCTGCCGACTGGCCCCAAGGCTGGGAGGCAAGGGCTGTACTGGGGAAGCCAAGAGTTGGGCTCCAGGGACAGAGGAGGGCTGTGGGGCCTGCCGGGCAGTAGCCCACAAGTGGAGGCGTCACAGTGACCCAAGGAAAGGGGTACGGAAGTTGGGATGAGACCAAGATGCCGCAGCCTGAATAAAGTCAGGCTCTCTCAAACTCGAGTTTTCTAAGTCAGGAAGAACAGCCTCTCATGTAGTTACGAGGCAGTAAATCTTCGGGAAATTTCCATTTTATTTCTCTATCTACATCCTCATTTCTGAATAGTTAGATAGGAGCACGGTGTACAAGTTTAAATGGAAAAATTAAAAACCCTGTTTCATGGTGGCTCCGTTTCTCCCCAGAGATGCACCGACCATGCCAGTCCCTGCGCGTCCTTCCAGGGACAGTCTGTGTGCACATAAGAGAGGTTCGTGCGTGCGTGCGTGTGTGTGTGCAGCAGAAACATAGCATGCTATTGTACACCTGGATTTTTAAAGGTAACTTTTCAAAGCTTGGTGTGTCTGGGTGTCCTTCCCTGTCAGCGCACACAGAGCTTCCTCATTCTAATGCTGCACAGAGCTCCACTGTTAGGGATGAATTAGAATTTAACCATTTCCTTATTGAAAGGCATCTGGGGAAACTTCAGTCTAACACAAATACAAACAATGTTGCAATGAAGGTCCTGGTACACTTCTTGTATCCACAGGATAATTTCCTGGACTGGAGCTATTGTATCAAAAGCTACAGGATTTTTGAAAGATTAACAGACATTGACAAACCGCCCTCATTTGGTCTGACACCCAAACCCACAAAATACAACAGAATTCACACATTCTCACTACCGAAGTGTGAAGCAAAAATTCAAAGTGCCCAGTAGAGGACTGTGGCCTAGAGACTAATAAAATCCTATTATTATTGTTTTACATTAAATTTTTCTTCTTATGAGTAAGACTGAATTTATTTTCATTATTTAAGAGTTTTTAAATTTTCTGGTTTGTGAATTAACTGTGTATATATACAGCTTGCCAATTTTTCTAACGGGCTGTTGACCAGAACATTTCAGGAA